TAACCATCCTCAATAGGATATAGCCCCAGCTAGGCCCTAGATGGCTCCGAGTTTAATTAGTATTTCCTATCAGTCTAGGGGGAGGGACATGGTTGTCTTCAGACACAGCTGGAACACTTATTTATTGTCACATTGATGTTATTGCTGATAATAGGGGTTTTTCGGCCTCGTCCAAACATTAAGAAATACATCAGCCATGCCAATGTCCCATAATGAACTTTTCTCTGGGGACTTTCTTTGAAATAATAGTTAATTTCATTTTTATGCTTAACCTATATAATTTACATAAAGATTAACTACTCTTGCTATACCATATTTTGGATAAACTGAAATTGCCTTGATGTCTTCATTTCCTAAACAACTTAAACCAAAATACACAAATTAATCATTCATTACCTAAATAATATTTTTAAGCAATTAAATAATATATTTAATTAGAAATTGTTATATTGCATTCAAATATTTTATGCTATTCATTAAAATTGCTTAATATTACATTAAATATATAAGCATGAATGAAAATCCTATATATTAATATACAACAAATAATTACCCTTTCTTACTTGTGCAGAACGATATGTAGTCTAAATGAAATTTAACTGCTTCTTGACATTGATTCTAAATTGTCAATACCATAAATTAATTCTTAAAGCAATACCCAAATATTGATATTAATCAATTAATTACATTTTATTGATTCTTGAAATTTATATATCTATCACTTAATATTATAGAGAATATAAATTACTTCATAATTCAAATCCTTTATATTAAAATTTAAAATTAATTACCCTTCTTAATCCATACAGAATCATCATGTAGATATTCCTACATTGCATCATCTGATTGCATCTTGATATTTATTCAAAAATGTAATACAATTCCTAAATATTAATTATTACAATTAATTACCCTTCTTAATCCTTACAGAATCATCCTGTTGATATTCCTTCATTGTAACATATCATTGCATCTTGATATTCATTCAAATTTTTCCAATTCATAAAATATCAATCAATTTATAATGCAATTCTTAATATTAATATTTAACAATTAATTACCCTTATTAATTCGCGGGCGAAGCAAGGTGCAGTAGAGATCAACTGTTTCCATATATTTGATATTTTTTCTTCTTTGAATAATTGTGATTGAGAATAAAGGAATACATTGAAAAATTTTGGCTTTTAATTCTCATTATGTAAAAATACTAAAATTTTGTCGATATCAAATATATAAATACTTGAAAGTAATAAATTATTTATATGAATATTCAATTATAATTTAAGATCTTTATATGGAATTGTTACTAATTTGTTGTATTTGATTCTATATTCTTTAAGAATCAAGTCGATGTGAGTTTTCACTTGTATAATTTATATCTATTCCAAAATGTTTACATATCTTCCAAATAAAGTCTTTTGGGTTTATAGTATAAAAACTGAAAATATCGCAATAGAAATTCTAATAATATAAAAAAAAGAAAATGAATTGTGAAATAAAGTTGATTGGAGATTTGTATGGGGTTTTGGTTTTATCTTAAGATGTTGATTAAGTGGTCTTTCCTATCCTAATTAAAATATTGAAAAGAGAGAAAATTTAAGACTGCTTAAAATTTCTCTCAGAACATCTAAATCTAAGGCAAGTCAAATAAGAAATATAAAAGGGAGAAAATTAATCATCATCATTTGGTAAGGAATAGATGGACAATATTGAAAAGAGTAACATTGAGAGAATAGCAGATGTTCTCAAAAAACTTAAGGATAATGAATTTAATGAAAAGAATTACTCAATAGATGAATACGAAGAAATTAAGAAAAATCTGATAATAAAAATATCTTGGGATAAGAAGATTATAGAATTCCTAAAATTTTTAACTCAACTTACTGGCTTGGATGAGAGATACATATAGTGTGGATCAAATTCTCTTCATTTACTAGTTCTTATGAAAGTTGACTTGAAAGAATCATGTTTTGAGAATATAAGAATAAGAAATACTTCAATTATAGGAGCTAACTTGGTAAGATGTGACTTAAGTGGATCTGAATTAGATAGTGTTATTATCAGTGGATTGAATTTGAATTCAGCCAAATTATTTAAATGTAAATGGAGGAATTTAAGAATAGATGAGTTAAATAAGTTTAGTGATCATAGTGGTTAAGTCAATTAAGTTTGCTTTTCTCCAGATGGTAAGTCATTAGCTTCTTGCAGTGAGGACCAATCTATTTGCTTGCGGAATGTTAAAACAGGGAAAAAAAAGTCCGTAATTAAAGGAGAGGGGAAAGTAAAATCATTATGCTTCTCACCGAATAATACGACTTTAGCTTTCAGTTGTTAAAAATTTGTGTATTTATGGAATTTTAAATCAAGGAAATAATTAGCAACTTTAAATGGCCATTTGGATTTGGTTTATTCAGTCAATTTCTCTCCTGATGGTATTACATTAGCATCTGGTAGTGAAGATAACTCCATCCGTTTATGGGATGTTAAGACAGGATAATAAAAAGCCAAATTAGATAGTCATTCATCAGCTGTATTTTCAGTCAATTTCTCTCCTGATGGCTCAACATTAGCATCTGGTAGTAGCGATAAGAGTATTCGTTTATGGGATGTTAAGTCAGGATAATAAAAAGCCAAATTAGATGGCCATTCATCAGCTGTAAGGTCAGTCAATTTCTCTTCTGATGGTACTACATTAGCATCTGGGAGTTATGATAACTCTATGCGTTTATGGGATGTTAAGACTGGATAATAAAAAGCCAAATTAGATGGTCATTCATCAGCCGTAACTTCAGTCAATTTCTCTCCTGATTGAACTACGTTAGCATTTGGCAGTTATGATAACTCTGTCCGTTTATGGGATGTTAAGACTGGATAATAAAAAGCCAAATTAGATGGTCATTCAAGTTGGGTTAATTCAGTCTGTTTCTCTCCTGATGGTACTACAATAGCTTCTGGTAGTGGAGATAACTCTACCCATTTATGGAATGTTAAGACTGGATAATAAAAAGCCAAATTAGATGGTCATTCTAATTATGTAACGTCAGTCAATTTCTCTCCTGATGGTATTACATTAACATCTGGTAGCAATGATAACTCTATCCGTTTATGGGATGTTAAGACAGGATAATAAAAAAACAAATTAGATGGTCATTCATCATCTGTAATATCAGTTAATTTCTCTCCTGATGGTACTACATTAGCATCTAGTAGTTGGGATAATTCTATCCGTTTATGGGATTTTAAGACAGGACAATAAAATGCAAAATTAGATGGTCATTCAAATTGGGTTAATTCAATCAATTTTTCTCCTGATGGTACCACATTAGCATCTGGTAGCAGAGATTACTCTATCCGTTTATGGGATGTTAAGACAGGATAATAAAAAAACAAATTAGATGGTCATTCAGCATCTGTAATATCAGTTAATTTCTCTCCTGATGGTACTACATTAGCATCTGGTAGTTATGATAAGTCCATCCGTTTATGGGATGTTAAAATAGGATAATAAATAGCCAAATTAGATGGTCATTCAAGTTGTGTTAATTCAATTTGTTACTCTCATGATAGTACTACATTAGCATCTGGTAGTAGTGATAAGACTATCCGTTTATGGGATGTTAAGACTGGATAATAAAAAGCCAAATTAGATGGTCATTCTAATTATGTAACGTCAGTCACTTTCTCTCCTGATGGCGCTACATTAGCATCTGGTAGTTGGGATAAGTCTATCCGTTTATGGGATGTTAAGACAGGATAATAAAAAGCATAATTAGATGGTCATTCATATGCAGTCAATTCAATTTGTTACTCTCCTGATGGTACTACATTAGCATCTGGTAGTGAAGATAACTCTATCCGTTTATGGGATGTTAGGACAGTATAAGAAATCTTATCTTCAGATAATCGTTCTAAAGAGATTTTAGCATAATTTTAGCCTCCAAATTTGGAAAACAATATTCTTTTGGAGAGTGGTATTTATAATTTCTTATCATTTAGTTTCAGTTCCTATTACGATTCTTCTGATATCACAATAGCCAATATTTTAATCTTAAGGAGCTCTTATTTAGAGAGGAGAATTTGTAAATTACCAAGGTGTAGATCTAAAACCATTATTCAAATCAAAAGGAAGTTTCATTTTAGAAAACTAATTGAAATATAATTACAATACAAATTGATTATTAATAATGTTCAATATAAATCATGTCATATAATTTTACACTCTGCCCATTTTTTTACTTTACATTAAAAAAATCATAAGTCAAAAAATCATGAAGAATGGAGACTTTATAGGTATTGATTTTAAAATTAGTTTTAGCATTTGGAATTAGGTATGTAAGTTGAAAATTGGAGTTCAAGTAATAATAAGAAAATAGAAGTTTTTGGTTTTTAAAGGGAGGGAATGTCTCTAGGACCTAAATTACTTTCCAAGTACACAGAATGAAAATTTAGCATAATCATTATTTAAATCTAAAGGTTGTTTAATTTTGATTAACTTTTGTTCGACTTTAAGCCAGTCTACATATAACTTTTGTACAATACTTGTTATATGAGGTTTCCAAACACTTTCCACGTTCACTTTTTACGTTAAGAACATTAATAAAAATAGTATTTACCTTATTCTCATGCATCCATGTTTAAGGAAAGATTTTATTATCCTACTCAGGTTTTATTAGTTGTGATTAATTTAGCAAAAGGCAAATGAATTCTATTACAAAACAAAACAAGCAATTATTCTTGGATTTTTTTCATATAGTTTTATGATTCTATTTAGAAATTATTGTTTTTGATAATTGAATAAAACTTCTGAATTACTAAAAGTATAGATATCCTGAGTAATAAAGATTAAATTAAAAAATTGATTTGGTTTGATTTATTAAAATTCAATTGTGGTTATGAAACTACAATGAAGAAAGCAGTTTGTTCATCGTAGAATTAATTGATAAAATTTTACTTTCATGTTTAATTTTAATGGAGTTATCGTTTAATTAAATTAATCTAATTGATATTGTTAATTGACACCATATCTGGTTGAAAAACCCAATAAGGAGTCTAATTTATCTATTTAATTTATAGAAACAAAAAATATGAAGCATCTCAACAATTATTTATGGTGAATTTTTGTTGTTAATTTTATGATTTTTCTTATCAATTTGAATTTCGCCTTTCAGCATTATTCAGTCATTTTAGTTTTTTCATAATCTTTACGATTATTTTCTTATTTTAACAATATATATTCATTTTTATAATATGAATATATTCATACTAAAGGATAGATGAAAAAATCTAGATTCAACTGAAATTTTCATTTAATTGGAAATATTCATTAGACTATGTTTTTTATATATGAGTTTAACCAAATGATTAGTGGAAAAATAGATTAATAAAAATTATATATGAGACACAGATATTCATCTTCTCACTCTTAAGCATTGAATGATATCATCTAGAATGTAGATTAGTAAGGAACCTAAAGAGAAGGACTTCATCAATGTAACTCAATAGTTAACTTATATCCAATTATGCTGCCATCGATTAGTAAGGAAAGCCTACTTTCTTCAGCTAGAAACACATCTAATCAATCAGCCAAAACCTCTCACTTGAGGGAGAATGAATAATTATAGTTAATCAAGAATATCTCTCCATCATAAAAAATCTGATTTGACTCCTCTAACAATAAGATCTCATAGCCCTGTAAGCTAATTTTAGTAGCAATATTTTGATGCTATAAAGAATGACAATTGTCAATAAGCTCTGACAATATTAATAAATATGATGATTCTATCTGTTGACTAAGATAACTTAAGTTAGTTAATTAAAATATTTAGAGTTGCATCGCTAACATTGTTACATTTTCAGAGAGTATGCAAAATCGATAATATACACAAAGAATACAATATTTTTAAGCGAATTTGCTCAAGATTTCGAAACCATTTAATGGGCATTACTACATTTTGGGAATCATATGCAAATAATTATAAAAATATGAGATTGGAAAAATCTTCATTAAAAAGGTATATTTTTCATTAGTGTAGAGTCTATAGAATTTGCATGGTTCATGTAAAATTTAGATGAGGAATTGAGATGCTATGAGGAATTGGGAAAGTTATGTTATTTCAACCATGAATTAAATCTTGCAAAACAGTTACATGAGATGAGCATGGTTGGTAATCAAAGAAGTGATTCGATTTTAAATATAAGTAAAAAAGGAATTCAATAATTGATCAATAATTACCCTCCATAATAGATATCTATTGATCAGAATATTCTATCAAAAATAATTGACTTTCCTTTTGTTATAAGAGCTACGAAAGAAGAGAGAGATACTTAGAATAGATATCTCAGATTGAAAAATTAGAATGTCTTATTATTGACAGAATGTATCCTCAAAGTGTAGAAGAGATACTAAACAAAGTGTTATAAAATCATAATTTCTTTTTTGAGATTCCTATTCCAATTGACTCATCTTACAAATTTGTGAAGCCGAAATCAAGAAATGACAGAATTATATCTACTTAAATGATTACTTGGATTAAATTGGCTATAGAAAAATAAAAAAAATTCGGTATATAAATTCTAACCTAAACCTCCAGTTGAAAAAGTTTAAAAGAGAAAGCTTACCTTAGATTAAGCAGTGACTGAGAGGTTAAGGATAAGATTAGAAGTAGGATGGAAATAATATAAGAGATCAAATGCATGAAACCAAAATATGATGATGTTATTCGATTGACGCATGAAAAGGATCATAAGAGAATTCATGAGCATTCTAAGAAAGAACATCTGAACTATTCAGAGTCATATTTTTTAAACAAAAACATAAAGGTTACTTTTAGGGTGCTTATTTAATGGTATAAATCGTTAATTACTTTTAATATTTATCTCTCAAAACCTTCCCAACAAATTTATTTATATGTAATGAGAGTTCAGAGTAAGGAAATAAATATCTAAATGATCTTGTTATAAAAGCTTTTTATTAACTCGAAAAGTATATGAATCTCTCTTACATGATTATCAGTAAAAATAAAAGAGATATGGTTAAGGACACTTTTAAAATTATTTGTTGAAATTGATAGAGGGAGGAGTTTGTAGGGAAAAATTGAAAAATAAATCAAATTCTAGAGCAACATTTATAAAAGTCAACTTAAACTAATTTCATTATTCTTAAATTGATTTCTTAATTGAATAGTACCTAAAAAACGATTTTTTTCTAATAACAGGATTGATTAATCTAATTTTAGCATTCCGATAATCAAGACAATCATTTATGCAGTATGAACCTTCTATTTCTAATGTCCAAACAGTAAAATATTTCTGGTCTATTGATGAACTTTAAGCTAAAAATACTTACAATAACTAGACTAGTGATGTGTTACCCATTGATATATATGCTAAAAGATGAAACAATCAAGTTTATGTTTTGTAGGATTTATCAAGTCATCAAGTAATATAGAAATATTTTACATACATTGATTAGAATAATTTCAAATGACCTCTAAGTTAGTTATATCCATCATATTGAAGAAATTATATACTGAGTTTAAACGTATTAATTGTTTGAACAATAATGATCTAAACAAGTTTACTTTTGAAACATTGATTAATTTTAAATTGCATATCTACTATTTTCATATGTCTTTAATTCAAAATAACAAATCTTGTGCTAAAATTACCAATATGATTAATATTATTCCAAGATATTAAAGATTACACACTTTAAACAATATTTAGGGAGGCCAAATAAAATAAATCATAAGTTAAGTACTTACATTAGCTTAATTTTTTAAGTTTAAATTATGGACATCGGGCAATAATCTACAAACAATATTAGAAAACAAGCTAAACAAGTTAAATTGAATATGAGAAGAAATAAGTTGTTATAATTTAAGTATTAACTTAAAATATTCATATATTCTAAAGTGACATGAAATAGAGTCTAAATTTGAATATAAAATAACACGTAACAAATAGAAATGAACATTTTTATATGTTTGGTTTTGAAAAACATTCTATATGCTTTCATTCAGAAATATAATATATTCTTCAATTAATATTTTCATGATTTATAATCATTAAACACATTANGAATAGTTTAGGACTCATGTAAGATGTGCTTATGTATATGAACTATTGAAAACAACTATGTATACCGCACCTTGCTTAGCTGGCATTAATTAACTAGGCTTACTAAAAATTAGTGAAAATAACTAGAAATTGAAATAAAGAGGTATTGATATATGCTAAAACTATTAAGTAGAGGTTACTAAGTACGGTTTAAAAATCACTGTTATAAGAGAATTTTTCAGTTCTCAGCACTCTGCAACTCCTTCGAATAGCCGCCAACCTATAGACAAGGTTCTAAAATTTCAACAACTAAAAGGAAGGTAGTAGGCCTTTGCAAAAATTTTCATGTTCCTACCTAGAGAGGGAATCACTAAGTCGGATTTTTGTTCCGAAAGGTTCAACAGCTAGATAGTTCTCTCTACCATCCCCTAATCAACTGCATAAAACATTTCCCCAGCTGATATGAAATAGAAAAATCTTAAAATACTGTATTAATATATTTTATTATAATATTATTTTGGATGATTAATGAATTGACATTTCAATTATGGACCTATTAATAATTATTTTTTTGATTTACTTAGCATTCAAAGCTCATCAAATCTTGATCAAAATTCTCACTCAGTTCCTTAAAAGGCTAAAAACAATCTGTATTCCGGAGTGCATATCGATGCTAAAAAAAATCTTTTTCTTTGAGAATCCATTATTATTCTGATATCAAATTTGATTTTTATCCATCCTCTTAGGTCTAATCCCTTATATTTTGCTCAAAAAAATAATATTTTAGTCCAAAATTTGGATGTTATAAACTAAATATTAGGTTATTGATTGCTTCTGTGAATTATTTCTTGATCTTGCTAACTGATAAGATTATTATATAAAGCTGTTGAAATTTTTTGATATCTTGTTGAAATTTCTCATCAAGTGATTGAATTAATGAGTGGCAGCTTTAAATCGTAATTGATTAAGCAATTATTTGAAACTCTCCAGAGTCATCCAATCCATAGAATTTTATTAGATAAAAGTTTGCTGAAATTTTGCAATTCTGTTATTTTGTTTGCGTTTCATTTGTAATTTATGTAGTTATACATTCACTTATAAATGCATAATCCTAGATAAATAATTACATATTGAATTATCCACATTCAAGAATACTATTTAGCTATAAATCCTTCTTTAAGATATTAATTAAACCCTTTTAAGGGACTTTTTAAAGCCCTATCTTCCAATATAATTGTAAAATTTTATCTAATTAGAAACTCTCAGTATTAAGAAATTAATAATCTTATGTTAACTTCTTTATTAATTTGGCATAAAACTCAGATCGGATTTCTAATAATAAATCTTCATATATCAAGTAAGTTTTCTAGGACTTCTAAACAATTTATTGTTCTTAAACATTTTATTTTGGTTTATCTTACTAAATGTTTCTAAGATTGAGAAGTTTCTCTTAGTAGGATTGTAATTCAATTAATAATCTGTTTCTTTATTTTTTACTTGAGTGTGATGATTATGAGTTTCCTTCTTCAGGTAGTTATTATTGATCATTTTAAGAATGTGGTTTAGATCTTGATTATTGTAATTCATTGCTTAAAAAAAAAGTATTTGTGAACTATAATTCTGTAACTTTTTTTTTGAAATTACTAAATTAACCTTTGCAATACCTTTCTTTTAGCAACAATGGCGATACTAATCCAGTTGGTTCTTGCTCTTAATAGCAAATTAAATATTCCTGTTGTAAATCTTTTTATTGAAGTTATTGGCTGGAGTCTTATTATGATAAATCTTGTTGTTATACAAGTTAAAATTCATGTTAATCATATTGTTTAGTACTTGGCTACTCATAATCATTAGGAAGTTCTTTTTCATTTTGTATTTAAATTTCTTCTTAATTTAGTTTTGAATCTTTTGATTAGTATTATTAGAGCAAAATGAATTTTTCTGAATCTGTTTTCTTCCAAATTTTTTAATATCTTACGTAACTCGCAGTTACTTATGGATCCAATAAATACTATGAGGTGATAATGAATTAAAACTTTTTATCTACCTCCAATTTAAATTTTTCTTTAAATTTTTGACAAATAAATTGAATTGGAATCATTTAAAACATACCTACGCATTTATTACAAACTCTGTTCTCACTAGTTATTTCTAAGTGAATTTAGGAAAGCATAATTTAATGATTTTATTTGTATTTTTCTAAATCAATTTGTAAATTCTCAAATATTGATTTATCTAGGTAAATATCTGCCAAAAGAAACAAGATCAAAGTCCTTTCGCTATGAGGTTCAGAAAGATATTAGGTAAAATACAGAAAGGGTTCAGCTTATTATACTTATTTGGCAAAGTCATCCTAAAATTAAATATAATCTATAAATTATTTATCTTAAAATTTTCCTATTGGTTGTTTGAAATCAATTAGCTGTCCATCTATTTATTTGAAGACAAATCGTATGTTTCCGAATGCTATGTTATTTTTTCCAAAAATATATGCATCACTTAAAGATGCTTCTATGTTATTTTTTTAAAAGCTGAACAATTCAAAGTATGTAATAAAATCCTCCAAAAGAATGTTATAATCTAAATTCATATCAGCAATAATTTTATTCAGATATTCTACAAACATGTACTCGTTTTTATGATCTCGACTTGGAACATCATGAAATACAACTTAGGAGTAGCATTAATTTTAGAGTTTTTATTGAAAATATTAACTTTACACACCCATTAATTTTTTGTAATACTCATCCTTCCAAGTCAATTCCACAAATTGAAGAAATAGTTCCTGAAGATCACTTCTATACAATATCAAAGAATATAAATAGTAGCTTAGAAGAGGGGGGAGTTAGAAAGGAGCAGATCGCTAAAATCCAAAACTCGAAAGCCAATAATACAAGATCTCCAATTAAAGCGCATCTGACTAAAAATTTTCGTGAAATTATCTAAAATTTACCTCATCTTTTCTGAATGTATAAATATCATTCTAATCAATCTCATTCTCATTTTCTTTAATTGGGTTATTTGATTTTGAGTTATCTTAATTTGATGATGAGCCACTATCATTATGTTCTTTCCATTTCTTATTTAAGAACTGATTTGAATTATCTTATTAGTTCTTTGGCTCTTTTCTATTTGAATCTTAAGAGTATGCAGGAATAGAATTAGAAAAACTTCTTCTTCTTAATTTCATGTCCTTGCTAGAAGATGCAGTTTATGTGGCATTTGATTTAATTGAAAAGTGACTTTATTTTAAGTCCATTGAATTCCGTCTTTTTATTGTAGTTAATATCAAAACTTTAATATTCTTTCTGTCAGCGTGGGAATTCGCATTTATTTGATGATACATAATTTTAAGGTGATTTTAATAATATAAAATTTAATTAAATACCCGCCTAAAATGTAAAAACTATAAGCAAAATATAAGAGTGAATAGTTATGAAGTAGCAAATTTTAAAATTAATATTTTTAATTGTGAAGTTGTCAAATCCTTCTACTTTTTTGTGATGTATTAATAATGCTCGATCGCCCATATTAATTTTACACTTAGAAAGGAGTTATGAGACATTATTATTAATTAATCATCAAACATATCTTGCAAGCTTTGCCTAGAAATTGTTTTCGATAATATTTATTTCATTAGTGAGAGGAGGGAATGAAATATTTTTCATAGATATACTTGAAATTGTTAGGGCGGTATTCATCTAATTTTTGATTTAAATATTTGATATGAATCGGCAATCAAAAGTGTGATTGGGGTATTGAAGTCCCCACAGATCACTAATTTCACATAATTTCCAAATCTACTAAGTATTGACCCAACTATTTCTTGAAATTTATATCTATATTGAGTAAATTCCCTTTAGTTATTAATGTAGATATCATTACTATCATGCGATTGGATTCACGACGTGATATATCAGAAGATCAGGTGCATATTCATCATTCGTATTTCCCTCGAAGTAAGGATTTGTATATCTCTACTTTCGAATTACTTATGAATCCCAATTAAAATGCCTCCAGCTTGTCCTTCTCCTTTTTTGTCATAATCATATTTATATTTAAAAATTCTTATTATGACAAGGACACACTGGTTGAAGATAAAACCTTAGAATCTTATAGTTAATATAATTATAGATTTGAAGACCAAGCTGAACATCTTCATGACTGTTACAAAATAGTATTAGCAAAGGATGACTAATAAATAGAGATTAATTTTATATATACAAGTCAGTGTGTTTATGCACAAATCTAAAGTTTTTTATCACCTAATAATCTAGATCCAATACTGAATTAATCAATTAAGTAATATCATAAATTTAATAATATTTTGAGTGAATTAGATTTATCAACTGAAAAAATTAATATTTCAAAATACAATTTTTTCAGAATTTGGACAAAATTTCCTAATCGAAGGGTTTTAATTATCATATTAAATACTATGAATTATCTAATATTTATCAGCAACAATCTCCGATATGCAATATATTTTAAATCATTAATGAAAAATGTGTATATTTTCTTATACAGTAACATTATTAAACTGTATTTTGTTGATCATACATCGCAATATTTATCTAATCATATTTCCCAATTTGACTAGTTCTAATTCAAAGATTGAAATTAAAGATTTGAGTTGTTTAAGTTTATTTATANTGATGCATAATTTTAAGGTGATTTAAATAATATAAAAATTTAGTTAAATACCCGCCTTAAAATGTAAAAATTATTAGTAAAATATAAGAGTGACTAGTTTTGAAGTAGCAAATTTAAAAATTAATATTTTTAATTGTGAAATAGTCAAATCCTTCTACTTTTTTGTGATGTATTAAAAATGCTTGGTCACCCATATTAATTTTAACACTTAGAAAGGAGTTATGATTAATTAGTCATCAAACATATCTTGCAAGCATCGCCTAGAAATTGTTTTCAATAATATCGATTTCCTTAGTGGGAGGAGGGAATGAAATATTTTTCATAGATATACTTGAAATTGTTAGGGCGGTATTCATCTAATTTTTGATTTAAATATTTGATATGAATCGGCAATCAAAAGTGTGATTGGGGTATTGAAGTCCCCACAGATCACTAATTTCACATAATTTCCAAATCTACTAAGTATTGACCCAACTATTTCTTGAAATTTATATCTATATTGAGTAAATTCCCTTTAGTTATTAATGTAGATATCATTACTATCATGCGATTGGATTCACGACGTGATATATCAGAAGATCAGGTGCATATTCATCATTCGTATTTCCCTCGAAGTAAGGATTTGTATATCTCTACTTTCGAATTACTTATGAATCCCAATTAAAATGCCTCCAGCTTGTCCTTCTCCTTTTTTGTCATAATCATATTTATATTTAAAAATTCTTATTATGACAAGGACACACTGGTTGAAGATAAAACCTTAGAATCTTATAGTTAATATAATTATAGATTTGAAGACCAAGCTGAACATCTTCATGACTGTTACAAAATAGTATTAGCAAAGGATGACTAATAAATAGAGATTAATTTTATATATACAAGTCAGTGTGTTTATGCACAAATCTAAAGTTTTTTATCACCTAATAATCTAGATCCAATACTGAATTAATCAATTAAGTAATATCATAAATTTAATAATATTTTGAGTGAATTAGATTTATCAACTGAAAAAATTAATATTTCAAAATACAATTTTTTCAGAATTTGGACAAAATTTCCTAATCGAAGGGTTTTAATTATCATATTAAATACTATGAATTATCTAATATTTATCAGCAACAATCTCCGATATGCAATATATTTTAAATCATTAATGAAAAATGTGTATATTTTCTTATACAGTAACATTATTAAACTGTATTTTGTTGATCATACATCGCAATATTTATCTAATCATATTTCCCAATTTGACTAGTTCTAATTCAAAGATTGAAATTAAAGATTTGAGTTGTTTAAGTTTATTTATATACTTTAAATTTAATATACAAAAATTCCTCTATTTATCTTCTGTAGGAATAGTTAAGAAATTAATTCAAAATTTAAGTTTGAAATTTATTAACAGAAATCTAGAGTATTTTAGGGTTAGAATTTTCAAAATCACTCCAAATGGTTCAAACTAAAGCAATTTTTGAATTATTATTCAAATTTAATTTTGGATTATGAATTTTCAATATTTACGATCAATTGATTAGAAAGGGTTTAAATCCTATGAAGATATTCCTATCAAGGTGGAACATATATAGCTTATGAGCCTAATTGAAAATAATTTATATACATGTAAAATTGTTATAGAGTTTATGAACAATGCAAATTTATTAGGTTTCCAAAAAACGAAGTAACAAATAAAAAAGAATGTGATAAAGTTAGAAGGGTATTAGTCAATGGTAATGAAATTTAATTTCTAGAAAGATTATTAGAAATAAAATAAAAATAGATATCTCAGCCCCTCCTTTACAAGTAATTTTTTATTACATAAATATCATTATTTAAATTAAAAAATGTTACAGAATGATGGTGAACCAGAATCCCTTATGCAACCTCCTCCTGATCAAACTTCTCCCTAAGAGATTACTACTAAGATTGATCTACCTGATTAGTCTTCACCTCGTCAGCCAGAATCCCAAAAAATAGATAGGGGATCTCCTAATCATACTAGTCAAATCTCGGAAGACAAAGAGGAAGCCATTCCAGAAGAAGAATGGCAGAAAACGAAAGAGGAATTGTTGGCTTAAGGAAAAACAGAGGATCCGCCTAGATTTAGATTACATTGATAGGAAGCCAAAAGAAAATCGTTATTGCATCTTTCTTCAGCCGGCGCTAATGGTACAAGTTAAATAGTATTTAGATTATGGTGCTATTTATAGATGAATAAAGAATGGAGCTGAGTTATGCCTGAGAAAATAAGTGCTAGAGCACTTGGACTCATATGAAGTTGAACAATGGTAGTGGAAGAAAGATCCTCATGATATTTTATCTATTAATTTTATGCGTAAGCATGGATAGGCAAATTTGTTTGCTTGGATGACAGAATAAGGTATTCAAATGAGTGAGACAGATCCACCTAGATTAGAACCTGATGCATTTGATCCAGACTTCGTATACTTTTTGAACTTCCACATCCTTAAGATGGAATAATAAGTGAGGAAAATGTTGCTGAGTTTGTTAGTGATGGTGTTATCAATATTAATTATTTGAAGACATTGTTGAAACAAATGAATGCCTAATTCATACAATAATTTATTTAGGACTCCTCTTGGCCTGAAAATGTAAAAAAAGAGTTCTTGGCTCAATTACACAAATTCATGGCGACTCTTACTGAGTATTCCTTCAGTCAAGAAGGCATTACTGAGTTGTATATCCCAAATGAAGACTTGAATAATATTGAGTAGGCTTCTTATGACAAAGACTTGTTGTAAAGATTAGAGGCAACCTTATTACATTGGTAGAGACAAATCAAAGACATAGTGAACAATTAAGAATTGGCTATTGAGAATGAGAATGCAGGCCTACTTGATGAGATCTCTTATTTGAGATAAAGAAAAAATAATTTGTCACATATTCATGAATAATTGGAGAAGCCAGAGTTTAAAAGAATCATCTAAATATTGAGCGATAGTCAATATGTCTAAAGTTTCAAGGAATGTTACTCAAAATTAAGATCACATTCATCAAACATGTAATGAAAAACCATAATTTATTGGGCTGATAATGTTATAGATATTCCTTTTAAGACTGCATATTCTGTTTCCACTAGACTAGTTGCTGAGGAAGAAGATACGATCCTTAATTTTTAACTTTGACCTTACCTCTCCAATCAATTGGCTATTTTTTATTTTCTTTGTTAATTGTTTCAGGAGATTAATGAATATTTTTCCATTTAACTTTACATTAATCATTTTATTATTCATTGATTTAGTATTCGGATAAAGTCTGATATTCTTGATTTGTAATAAATTGATTTTTCCCATTAATAAGTAACATTAGTTCTTTTGTTATGTTCATTAATAATTTTTATTTTGATAATTTTGCCATGTTTCAAAGCCAATCCTTCTAAATCAGAAGCAGAATCTATATTTACTTCGTAAAACCCAAATCAATTAATAAAATCGCCAATTTGGCTGCAATTATATTTTACATTAATTATATTCGATTTATTTTAATCACATATAATCTAAATTTTATAGAAAATCATTTTTCTTTTGTAAACTTAATTTAAAGCTTTTATATTTTCTCCTTTCTTCTCTACCTCAATAATCAATTGAGAAAAACTTATCAATCATAACTTCTGATTTCTTCAAACTATATTTTTTTAAATCAAACCCCACACATAATAAATATTATTGTATAGTATAATAAATCTCGAAACCTTAAATTGATACTATTTTCTAATTATTTATGAAATAGTATTGGAAAATGCATTCTAAAATCTAAATTATTTTATGTTGCGACAACGTTTTTATAAATTAGAAAATGATCTACAATACATTTTCTTTTGGAGTAATCGATTTTGAAAAGAGACTTTGCTATTTAGAATTCTCAAAGTTTTAGCTTTTTTTCTAATAAGTTCCACTGTTATGAAATATTAATACTTTAAATGTACTAACCAAGTTACTTTAATTATATTTTTATTACTACCCGCTATCATTTTTATATTTATAATCCTAAAATATAATAAATATTAAATAGTATCTTCCAAAACTTTGATCAGATAATGCCTTCTCTATTAATATTATAATATATGAATCATAAATTGTTGAAATTTATCATCTACTGTTTCGAAATCACTTCTTTAAGTTAAATTTTCATAAATTGAGGCTGAAAAAATTATCTAATTATCTAATATTATTTCCCTATTTAGCAAAATTCTAATTACACATTTTTCTTAAAACATTTTTGTTATTTATGTTGAGAAATTCAAAATATAGAGTTAATTTTGACCCAGAATTAGATTTTGGACTTTTAAATGTGCTTTATTAGAACTTTGATATTAGTTGCAGCACTATTTTTTTTGTAAAGGAAAAGTAGGTAGAATAATTTATTTTTGAGGAATTAACCGATTAGATATTCAATTATTCTAATGATAATTTAATTTATCAAAATTACAATATCAAATCATCTTATAATAATCTATTTTATTGAGATTTAAATCAATAAAAGTAAAGATTAGCAATTAGTAAGGTTATTATAATTTCTCTTCTAAAGATAATAACTTAAGTTAAATCTTGTAATCAATAAGGAACTTTTAAGATAGGTTAGATCTTTAGTGAAGCATCCCTAACAGTTGTCACATATCATCTCAATAAGCATCTTTTAACACATTAACAACTTATTTATAAGCTACAGCCATAGAAATTTGCAAGAGTTGATAAAATTTCAATTATGTGTTGAAGTAAGCAGAAAAAGATGAACTATATTAGCAGCAGCATAATATCTACCTTAGTTGCTTAAGATTGTTTCTAACCAAAGCTTATAGAGAAAAAAACGATTTGCAATCTCCATAATTAAAATTAGTAGTTGAGTTGTAAAATTTTGCTATTGTTAAAGGCTTTAAATGTAAATGCAAGTACTTAAAGTTAGAAATTATCTCATTTTACATTCAATTTATTTATTAACAAATAAAGTAGCCATTAAGACAAGAGAATTGAGTGACTAAAGGTGATTAGTGTCTTGTAATATCCTTTCAAAGTAAAAAATATTTATTTTTGGAGAATTAAATTTTGAATCTCAACTTAATTTTCTTTGGAATTCATAATTATTGCTCTTAAAATTCGCTAAATTGTTTAAGTTGTCTTGGTAGAAGCAGAGATATAATGTAAACAACAAATAATGTGACACAATACATGAACCTATTGATATCTATCAGTACTCATAGGATAGTATTTCAGCAATTTGAACATTAAAGCATAAATGAAGAGTTGAGATATTGTTGCACTTTAAGTTTAATATTCTTAAGGTCATTCCTGTTCCCAACTAACAATTGATACGGAACATAACCAGGAGGTCAGTATTTGATATTTCATAAAATGAGTTACTCAAACTTGGTATTTTATCGACTCAGCCCATATGCAGCTCAAGGTACCCAGAACATTAGTCATGCAGGTATATTTAATGTGAGCATATGATTTTGTTTTGCAGATGCATTCCTATCATTGTAAAATCAGAGATATTCTAAATTTTGAATTTTTACAAGATTTTATGTTATGAGGTAAAACAGCTATACATTATAGGTGGGGAAGTTGAATAAATATATCAAAAAGATTGATGTGGGTTTTATTGACATACTTAGCTTTTTTTTTATTATCATTACTCTATTTAATGTAGTTGTATTTGTAATAAAAGTAAAAGCACTGTTAAGTTATCTTTAGGTTTATGAAATGAACTAGCAGTCAGATCTCTTGTGCACACAAGAGAGCCGAATATTTTATGGATTAACAGGAATTACAATCATTTTTGTCTTTTTGAATAAAAGTTAAACAACAAAAATCTAATTAACTTTTAAAAATGAAAATTTTATTCTGTATAAACAATAAAACTAAATTTTCAAAATGTGAATTAAAACAATCAATTCCATTCTTTTTTTCGTTATTTTTATGAACAATATATTGTGCGCTACTATCCATTTATCAACCAAAATAAATTTATTTCTATACATTTTTTAGATTCTTCTTCATCATCTCTAAAAGCAAGTTCCCTTTTTTACCTTTATCAATCTTTAAACTATGAATTTTTATTGAATTATTTTCATAAACAGTAACATTTTAGAATCATCAGATTAAAAGAAAACTTTAGATTTATTTACTAGAAACACATGAAATTTTATTTTTATATAAAATTTGAGTATTTTTATGATTAATTTTATAATAGAATTAATGATTAATTATAATTCTATTATTTAAATTTATATTAATTTATAAATATATCAATTTTAAACTTAACTAAATAATGCTTTGTGTTATATTCCGAGTGATGATTCTTAAGAACAGAGAGACCTAATTTGCTTTTATTGTTTACTTCACTCATCTTATGACTGTTATCAATTTTTTCATTATATTCAAGCATAAAGTATAGATCTTAACTTAAGCACTCAAATAGAAATGGAATGAGAATTGATTTTTTCGAAAATATCAGTGATTCTTATAACTCCCTTTTAAATTGGACTATATTTATAGTCTCAGGTTAAAAATATAAATATATAATGTAAATGGATAAATCACAATTTATTTGTGTATTTACTTATATCTTAGATGGTATAGATAATAAATAAAAATTAAGATGATAAATGATATTTCTCTTAAATACTCTTAAATAAGTCTTATCTCCCCAAGAGGGCAATAATATTTCAAACAAATACAAAAATTATTAGTGATAATATTTCATGCATTTTCACTTTAGTCTTACATTTTCGAATATATAAATTAGTAGAAAAAATTATCAAGATCAATAGTTATGCTCATAATTTATAAATAAAAAATTTATCTTATGATCTGAATATAATTAATATCATTATTAATAATAATATAAATCTAATTAGACCTAATACGCTAATATTAGATGGAAATAAGCTTTAATGAAGATGCATTATTTAAGAGCAGCTGTTATATGAAATATCAAAAGGTTAATTCTTTATATAAAAAAGCAAAATTGGCTAATTTAATTAAGCATATCATCCATGATTTGTATGCCTATCGTTAATAAATAAATAAATAAATGTAAACATTTTATCAAAAAAGGATAATCCTCAAAAGAAAATTTATTTAAAACTAGAAAGAATAAACTAACAACAGATGATATACATATTTCTAAGCTAAGGAATTCTTTTTATGCTGCCATTATTGATAACATAAGTATATATAATTTATAGGATAATATACAATCAATGTGTAAGTAAAATCAGTAGAATCAACTAACTTAATACTACTTAAATTTGATTCACTAACTTAGGCTTATAATAAACGAGGTGAGATTATCATTATGACATTTGAAATTTTTAAAATTAAACTTATAGAGTAATATTTAGAGATTTTTGAAGGCTAGAAGGAAAGCTTGACCTTACTCAACACTCACCAGAGTGGGAAAGTTAATTTAAAACTGAAATGTGTAAATTATTTAAGCTTTTACGGAATCTTCTTTTTAAAGCCTAATGTAATAAATTCAAGCACTCTCAATTTATGAGTATTAAAACATGCAAACTAAATAAAACAATTATTTAAATAAATCCAAAGGATTCACTTTTTTCAATATGTCATTCAAAAACTGTATAGCATGAATAAGGAAAGAAAATTAAGAAATATAATAGCGTTAATTGCTTTATGAGTTAATCTTCTTCCTTATTGATAATCATCAAGTCACCTGTTTCATTAGTGTAAAAATTTTAAAGATTGCAGTTGAGATAAGTAGTCCTTAAATCCTGGTTGTTTTAACATTTTTCTTTAAAATTTTGAAATATGTTTTAAGATGTTGGAATACTTTTTTTTTTATTCATTGAGTAATTTTTATTTTTTTATCAATTTTTTTGGAAATAAAAGTTATGCACAAACTCCATTTTTAATTTAGTTTGTAGTACAAGTATGAGCGACGCATTTACTAGCTACAGCATTTGATCCACTTCTAGATGCAGCATTCAAAGAGTATCTATCTTTAGCAGACAAGCAAGCTGTTTAATCATTATTTACAACTGCACATCCTGTCATTAAGGTGCAAGTTGCTGTTCTAGTACCAGCAGCAGCTCCAGTAACAGTTGATTAAACCAATACACAAAGTCCATCTAAACATCCTTAATTACATGCTTTTTTTGGATGAACAATTGAATCTAGGAATGCATTTGAAACACAAGTTGATAAGATTATTGAAGTTGCTGTATCATTTTTGAATATCAGCACAACTAAGTAATCTATATTTGGCAGTGTTATTATTTGTAGCAGGTGCTAGTTCCCAATAGCATGCCCCATCAGATCCAACTGCAATTATGCAAGCAGTTTAAGTAGTATAAGCTCCCTTATCATTGAAGTGACAACTAGCTAATGCAATGTATGATGAACAAGATCCTAAATCTATGCATCCTTTTGTTCCTTTTTGTGTGTACTTACTGCAAACAATTTAACATTTGGTATGATATATATAGAAAGCAAAAACACAGGAGTATAAAGCTTACAAACTTTATGGTCCTGAAGAATTCACAGCTGGAACTGCTGAATACATGCATCATCCCCTATCCAGTGACCCTTCATCAGTGTTAGTTTCTGTGCATAAAGTAATTCCAACACAATTTGAACATTAATTGTGCATTTTATTACTTATCCATTTACATGAAACATCATTATTCCAAGTTAAACTTTTGCATGATGTGTAAATCCAGTTGCTCCATTATTTATACATCCTAATTTGATTTCATAACAAAATGCATTACTGAAAATCCTGTTTATAAATAAACTGCATCTCAAGTTGCAGCTGTTGATGCTGCTATACAGGCGGTACCAGCACTTGTACTTGCAATACAAAGACCAGCCCCTATTTATAACAACCTGTTAGAATAGTATATATTGAACACTGAGTTTATTATTACGCACAAGCACTCCTGAGTCTATTGGCACTGCATCCTAGGTTATAACACTAACAAATTTCATAAATTATGTATCCAGGACTTTCAATAATTCTAATAATATCAGGAAAAACTTTTTAAAATTATGATACAATGCACCAGTTCCTATTACTACACTACATTTTATATCTTAAAATTAATAGCGAAAGTTCACAATCCAAATACATTAAAGGGAACTAGTTGTTTATGTAGAGATAACTCCAACACAAGCTCTTTCAATCCACATGCAAGTTCCAGCCTCTGAATTTGTACAGAGAACTTAATTTGCAGCACAGCATGGCAGTTTTTCTTTCCATAATGTTCCTGCTTTGTTCACTGGGCAACTTGCATGATAGGTTGTACAAATTTTAGCTGTTAGTCCAGTTCCAGCAACATAAGCAAATTGAGTACCAACAGTAGTAACTGTTATATAAGTAGTTCCACTCCATACACATATTTTTTTGCAGTTGATGGGGCTTAAGAGGTAGAACAAGGGTTTAGAATTAAATATAAATTAAATGATACTATTTTTACTAACTAGCTGTTCCATCAACATTCGTATTACAACCAGGATCATATTTAGAACAAGTAGTGTTGTTTAAATCTGTTTCAATTACTGAAGCACAATTATAAAATCAGTACACTTAGTACTAACGAAACAGCATTTACCTTATCCAGAAGTAGTATCATTGTTTGTTGCTGCATAAACCTGAACAATTTGTCTTATACTCCTAACTTCCGCTGCCATTTTTAAGCATGTACAGAAGAATGATATCGTTAATACATAGAAAGATCCAAATCCGTTAAACATTTTTATAAATGAATATTCAACCGTTGCAGTCATTGCTTGGCAGCTTGAAGAACCATTTATGACGCAATACCCTGGATTTAAACTTATAAAAATTAATTGCTGATGATCCATTTCTAGTACAAATAGATTTAGATTACAATACAACTCATGCCTCTTTTATGACTGAACTTGTACTGAGAGTGCGATTATTTAATATAATTACATTAAATGAATATTTAATAAAATTATCATCAGTCTCAATAACAATTCATCATATATTAGCGGCTTTAAGGTTTCAAATGAGCTTTTTCTTTTCAATCAGACTCTAAATAGTCATAGAAAGGACACAGAATCAAACTAATCATTAAAAATTAAATTTGAAACATTTATTCAAGAAGATTTGGCTTCTTAATAAATAGGGAGACATTTAAAATTTATCTAAAAATGTTGTAGAAACCCTATGCTTAATGCATTTTACAAGTTCTAGTTTCTAATATTCTACAGCCGATCTATTTGGAAACATTTTCAATTACATATCTAATCCAAGATTTTCATCTTAATGAATTTTAGTTTGATGTGACCGACCTTAAAGCCAAAAGATTCCAATAAGTCATCAAATACAGCGGATTTTTGAGTATTGAAGATGAATTTGGTTGATCCTCCCTTTCTGTAATCGCTCTATTTCTGAATGACTTAATTTTTGACGATTTAAGTAAAATATTCAAAGTGAGGTTTAATTTATATGTTTCAAAATTAGCTCATTTACTTTAGAGGGAAGAAAATTACAGAATCTTTAATTAATTGCAGCAGGAAATATTATTGATAATTAAATTATTTTTCTATATTCAGTGATATATTCCCCCATAATTATAAGTACTCCTAAGCAATGAAAGTATTTGATTTCTCACTTTCTTAATCCTTTTCAAGTAAAATGAACTTTCTTAAAATTGGTAAAATAAGTAGACTACCTAAATTATACTTTTCAGCTAACTCTATGAGCGATTCAGTCGCCCATTCTACATTCATCGTTAAATGAAGTAAATGTCTAATTCGATAGTATAAACAAAGACTCTTATATCCTTTAGATGTTTAAAATACTCCTCTTTGTTTTTTTGACTTGAAGCCAACTTCTACAAACCATACTAATTCCAATTCTGCTTTCTAAGTCCTCAATTAGTTAATCAAAGAAGATTTATAATAATAAACAAGTATCCTTCATATAATCCATACTGACAGAAACATTCAAGATTCATTCTGTGTCATTGATGTAAATATTTATTCATACACCTCTATTGCACAAACCTCTGAGAAAATTCCTGATATTTTGTCTAATCACTTCATACCATATTATATTTATTTTAGAGAGATCCTTAATTGAGTAACTTCTACTTTTAGCTTTGAAAATTTAAGATCACCAAACTTAGCAGCCACATATTAACATAAATCTTCTACTTCATTTTCTTTGAATATAAAAATTCATGTGCTTAGAATAGCCTCAAAAAATGTAGCCTAGGACCAAATCTGAACTAAGTCCTTATTTGAACTTGTGGATGCATTTTTCAAGTTAACAACTTGATAGGCTGTTTAACTTATCTTAGATAATAAGAGAAAAGGTTTTTTCTTATTTTTAGGTTCTTGAACGAATCTTCATTTAACGCAATTTTTAAGTTGTTAATTAGATCTATTTCGCATACTGGGCAAGAATTTGAAGTTCTGCTTATTGAATTGAGAACTCCTTATATCATTCCATATTCTCTTTTGTTATAATATATTATAGTATTTGTTTGGACTTACTGCTCATTAATTACTATAAAGTTTGAAATTACATAATAATTAAAGGGAATTTACTACATTTTTCTTGCTATAGATCTTACATAATATCTAAAAAATATTTAAGATTGCATTTACAATAGAATCAAATTTTTAACAATCTTAAAATGTCAATCCTGCTCCAGTTTTTAAAGTACGATCTAAAGTGGAAGCAGTCGAAGATCTTGCACTAGGAGTGTATGTACATCCTATTATCTATCCTTGGCACAATGCTTAAGTACCTTTAAATTGAGTGCAGGCTCCAGTTGCAAAATTAGATAACGCTAATGCATATCATTTATCAATTATCCACTTATAAAACCATTAGTTGTGATGGTTTTATGATATTACGGCAATGCCATATAATCTGAACGATTAATTCAGTCCAAATACAATTCTTATTTGTAGATGCAAATTTACAATCTTCTTATGCTGAATAAGATTTGCAGGCAGTTGCTATCATTAATAAACAGTTCCTTCATTATCCACTGTACAAAAATTAAATTTACCCTAGCAATTTTCATGTGTTGTTGGGATAATATTAAAACACGTTCTATCAACACAGCTACTGCCATTACAATAACAATCACCTTTTGTTTTAGAGCTTAATTAACAATTAGATGGAACTAATGATGTACAACTATATAGGTTAGCAATGCATCCATAGCTGTATTGTTTGAAATACAATTATTGAAATAAGTTTGCCAAGCAGAAAAAGTAAATCCATATGCTGATAATGCTCCATTTGTTCAGCCAATGCTAGCAGATGCATAAAACTTATTAAGATATGAAGTAGTGGCTGAAACCTAAAACATGATAATCCAATTTTAAAATCCCACTGTTTTCAGTTGATTTTCTAGCTGCACAATTTGTTGGTAAATTTTAATATCCTTTAATTTTCAATAAACCATCAACAGCAATATGATTACAAGCGATGCAAATTTATATAAATAAAATATATGCTTGATTTCATTATATGGATTCTTAACATTGTGAAGTAGTTGTGAAATCTCAGAGGCAGTTGAGCAAGATTTATCAATATGAAGATCCATTTCATCCGCTTAGATACCTATTAGCTTTCATTTAACAAGCAACTTCAAGAGTTATAGCTTCTCATTTAAGAGAAATTGCAACACATCCAGCCCCTGAATTATTCAAGTTGAAAGAAGAATGGCAGGTTTACCAATCAGTATGAGTAGTGATAATTGATGAAACTAATGCGTATTAATTCTTATAATATTCCTTTCCAAATACATATTCTATTGCTTGTATGTTTGTCGCAAATAGCTAAAGCAAATGAATTTTCGCATGTTTTTTCGACACAACCTGTGCAAGTATTTAAGAAAGCTTAACAGAGTTCATGAGTCGTGTGATGGTATTTAATATCAATAACTAGTAAATATTAATCCAAAAATTAAAAATTATAGTTGCTGTAGTAATCGCATCATTTTTATCCTTACATTAGTACAAGATCTATTTTATCATTCACCCTTCAATATAACGGTGAAAGTAGATAAATAAGAATTACATAAATTATGAGTATTATTCGTTGTTGAGGTATTAATACATATTTAGTCTTTAAATGTTGTTTCTCAAATTTAACAAATTGTTTGAGTTTTAACACAAGCTGCTTGAAAATTAGCAACAGAGCTTGCTCCGTTAGCAATACAACAACTTTCTGATTTAGGATAAATCCTCTAACAAACCCTGCACAAGCTGAATTTTTTGTAATCGTAATTGGAGCATTTACACAGGTTGTATCTACGCAAGTCAAACAAGTCGGAGCATTATCAAAAATTACATCTTTGCACACACCTCCATCCCAATAACAGCAAGCAGTAGTTGTTAATTTATTCCAAAAACATTAAATTTTAATGTTCAATCACTGCAATTACTTCAGCTATTACTTCCTTCTTTAATTGTACAAGTTGAAATTACGTCTCTGCAATCTTTGTTTCCATGAACATCCAAAGATAATATTTAATTAGATATAATTGCAAAATGAGTCTAAAGTAAAACTAAATGATTTATTTTTTCTATCTTGACATTCGATTAATTTAATTCACTATCTATTTTCTCTTGCTTTATCTATAAATTCATAGGTATCTTTTTAATACTATCTTTTCTTATCTTCTCATACTTCCCATAATAACAGCAAAATCAAGAGACCAAGAAAAATACTGAAAATAACCTAAATTTCAGTTGTCATTCCAACCTAAAGATCTCTCAGATAAAGAAGATTTTTCAAAATCATAATGAGTTGCATACAAGTTTTCTTCAAATCTGTTAGTGTATATAAATACAGTTGAGATTAGCATACAAATTGAAAAATAACTAAAATAATGATTAGTATATTTTAGCATAGAAGCGAAACTAACTCGTTTCCTGAACGAATAAGAATAAGGCTTGGACAGTTATCTAAGCTCTTTTTTTGTATTAATTAAGAGAAGAACTTAATTTATGGTTGAAAATTGATTATTTCAATTTGTCTATAACGCCATAAAAAAGGATAACTGTTGTTAAGGTTGGGATAACAGTTTGGGCTAGAATTTTCAAAGAACGCCACTAACAAATAGAAAAATATTGTGTTGAAAATTGATATGAAAAAAATAAGTTACCTATATTTAAAACCTTTAAACTTTCTCCTCGGGGCTTTCAAATTATATTTATTTCCTGTATGTTATTGAAGAGCTCAATCAGTTTTCAAGCTGTTTATGATCTCCAATTAAAATCCTAATATATATTCATAAACCAATCAAATTAAGAATTGTTAACAAAAAAAAAAATTAAGAAAAAAAAATAAAATAATATCGAAACATTATTATTCCACATCCAATTCTAGTTTTGATAATTTTCATTTGACAGCTAATCAATTAATAACAGATTTAATGATTCTATTCGATGAAAAAATATGAAAATAAAAACTATGAACCCTCTAATTTATATTAAAATTAATTTGATTAAAAAAGTAAATTAAAAGAAAAGAACTCATTGTACATGATTATTTTTTAATAGAGATCTATTCAAAGGAAGAAGAATTGTGTAAAATAATGAATATTAAAATTTTTCTTATTATTGTTATTTTATAGATATTGGAAATGATTATTTTTTTATTGTATTCAATTGTTAATTGAAGATTTTTCATATTCTATTACAGGAATATTAGAAGTGTTTATAACTAGAATGATTCCAGGCTATTATTGATTATAAACCGTTACTTCGCTTTTCCATCATTACTTCACTATCAAGTTTCACTCAAAATTATATGTGTTATATCACAACAATCGTTACTCATACTTAATATTATCTTATGAAATTTATTAGATGAATTTTAAGATCATATAGATAATTTAATCTGATTATAGAAAAAGTTACTGTAGAGATGTATCAAAACCACTCCTTAAAATTACAATGATAGATACCTTATAAGATTGTTTAAGGAGGGTTTAAATTTAATAATAAAAATAATCATTCACACCGTATTACATACATTAAAAGTACTATTGTTTTTTTGATCAATAACTAATTATGGTTGGAACTTTAAATTTTTAATAAAACAGAAAAATGTTATTTATATCTCCAACCACAATGTTCAAGTTGAATAGAACATTAATTTGCAAAAGAAGACAATTTATGGGAGTATTGTCATGCTTATATTAATGATGGACATATGATTCTAATTCATATATTCAAAGGAACTTAGACAAGGAATTACTAAATAATTAATTCAAAATTATCGGATCGTAACTTCTTCAATAAAATTTAAACTATTCTAAATAAGAACTTATTTTAATGTTTAACGATCTTTTTTAGAATGCTGTTAGAGTATATGAATAAATGGCTGTATAATTGAAATAAAGATAATAAAAGAGAACTTTTTGGACTTAAACATTAGATAGTGACGTATGAAAAGAACAAAGAAATTAATCTCATTTTATCAAAGGAAGTAAAGTAAGATAATGTTTACTTTACAATTTACAAAGACTTCAGTCCTGCAACTTAAATTATAAGCTTATGGAAGTTGAATGATCAATCGAGGATAAAGATGGCAATTGAATGAAACCATATGGAAAGCAAGATAAAATTTTGCTCTCTGGTTTTCAGGTCCAGGCGAAAGTATAGCTGTTAGAAAATGGAATTCATCAAATCTTAAGAGTAAAGAGGACGATTAGAGGGATTTATGGATTTATTAAATCTATTTCTGTTCAAGCCATCAATAATGTAGAGTTTGTAAAAATATTAAATTCGATTATTAATCAAATTAAGCACAATAAATTTGATAATATAAAAGACAAATCTTAATGAAAGCAAAATCTAAGTATAAAATTTGTGATAGAAATTTAATAGAAAATAGACTTATTTGATCCAAATATTGAATTTAATGACTATGAGCTGGATTCAGTTGATAGAACTTTAAGAATTACTCTATAGATAAACAAATAAATATGAAATAGCCTAGCTTTTACAAATTGGTAGTTTACTTTTGACTTTGAGCTAAGAAAAACAAATATGTTGTTTATATTATCTAGCTGTGATTTCTTATTTGACTAATTGCCCAATTTAAATATTTTTCCTGTATTGAAATTATAGAAAATGTAAAAGCAACTGATCAAAACTAATTTTTTATTTTTATAAGTATCGAAGTATTTGGAAATATTTATGAAAAACGACTCTTATATAATCAGGATAAATAAATGAACTGAGTTATTGACTTCAATCTTCAAATAACAATCCATTTCATCAGGATAATCCACACGGTTTTTTTCTATTCCTTAATCTCATTTATTTTATAAATTTTATCATTCAAAGATAATCTATGGGTTGTTCTATAAAAATCTTCTATAGATTTATTAATGATCTTTTCTCCAAAAACTAGTTCCTGAATGAGTATTTCAACTAACATCTCATTATTAATTTTGATCAATATTCTTCTTACCTTTTTGCTTTTTCTGAATTCACTTTGTGAAAGTTCATTTGAAATATCAGCCAATCCCCTAAATTAAAAAGTAAATTATATTAGCGCTACTTAATTCAGAAGCATTCAAATTTATAAATATTAAGGTGTTTACAAGTTTTTCATGCTTACTGTTATAGATGTCTTTTATATATATGAATATTAGATCAAATAGACATTACACATTTCTTATAGCTAGATTAAGTTTGGCGATAACATGAACAAGAAATAGTTTTAGTTGATTTATCTGAATAAAAAGTATTCNTAATGTTTAACGATCTTTTTTAGAATGCTGTTAGAGTATATGAATAAATGGCTGTATAATTGAAATAAAGATAATAAAAGAGAACTTTTTGGACTTAAACATTAGATAGTGACGTATGAAAAGAACAAAGAAATTAATCTCATTTTATCAAAGGAAGTAAAGTAAGATAATGTTTACTTTACAATTTACAAAGACTTCAGTCCTGCAACTTAAATTATAAGCTTATGGAAGTTGAATGATCAATCGAGGATAAAGATGGCAATTGAATGAAACCATATGGAAAGCAAGATAAAATTTTGCTCTCTGGTTTTCAGGTCCAGGCGAAAGTATAGCTGTTAGAAAATGGAATTCATCAAATCTTAAGAGTAAAGAGGACGATTAGAGGGATTTATGGATTTATTAAATCTATTTCTGTTCAAGCCATCAATAATGTAGAGTTTGTAAAAATATTAAATTCGATTATTAATCAAATTAAGCACAATAAATTTGATAATATAAAAGACAAATCTTAATGAAAGCAAAATCTAAGTATAAAATTTGTGATAGAAATTTAATAGAAAATAGACTTATTTGATCCAAATATTGAATTTAATGACTATGAGCTGGATTCAGTTGATAGAACTTTAAGAATTACTCTATAGATAAACAAATAAATATGAAATAGCCTAGCTTTTACAAATTGGTAGTTTACTTTTGACTTTGAGCTAAGAAAAACAAATATGTTGTTTATATTATCTAGCTGTGATTTCTTATTTGACTAATTGCCCAATTTAAATATTTTTCCTGTATTGAAATTATAGAAAATGTAAAAGCAACTGATCAAAACTAATTTTTTATTTTTATAAGTATCGAAGTATTTGGAAATATTTATGAAAAACGACTCTTATATAATCAGGATAAATAAATGAACTGAGTTATTGACTTCAATCTTCAAATAACAATCCATTTCATCAGGATAATCCACACGGTTTTTTTCTATTCCTTAATCTCATTTATTTTATAAATTTTATCATTCAAAGATAATCTATGGGTTGTTCTATAAAAATCTTCTATAGATTTATTAATGATCTTTTCTCCAAAAACTAGTTCCTGAATGAGTATTTCAACTAACATCTCATTATTAATTTTGATCAATATTCTTCTTACCTTTTTGCTTTTTCTGAATTCACTTTGTGAAAGTTCATTTGAAATATCAGCCAATCCCCTAAATTAAAAAGTAAATTATATTAGCGCTACTTAATTCAGAAGCATTCAAATTTATAAATATTAAGGTGTTTACAAGTTTTTCATGCTTACTGTTATAGATGTCTTTTATATATATGAATATTAGATCAAATAGACATTACACATTTCTTATAGCTAGATTAAGTTTGGCGATAACATGAACAAGAAATAGTTTTAGTTGATTTATCTGAATAAAAAGTATTCACAATATATTAGATTGTCTTGAATGTGTTCCATAATTTAGGACAGCAAAAAACATGGTAGAAGCATACTGAATAAGTTTTGATATTCTTAAATGCAATACTTTAACTAAACGAGCTTTGGTAATTCTTAAAAGAAAGAGTTCAGAGAAGTAATTTTGAAATTATTTGAGCAATTAATTGAATCAGTTTCAATCAAAGTTTAAATAGAAAATATTGATCTCCAATATCATGATAAGTTGCATTAAAAAATTGCAAGCATTAAGTAAAGAAGATCTAATTAATAATGTTGATCTTCTGAGTTCATAAAATAGATAGCTCCAAATAATCACATGATAGAATGAGAGATTTAATTTAAAGATTAATCTATTGATTCAATCATTTGTCAAATGCGGATCCTCTAAAATTAATAAACTCTACTTTTCCATAACTTATTACATCCGCCTTTAAGGCATTCATTCCAAATCAATACCTTAATTAAAATAAGATGGGTATTGAATCATAAATTATTTAACCTTAAATTTTCAAGCCATTTACGTTATATTTAAAATTTATATTCATGTAAAGTCTTCTTCTTTTTGTCTGGTAGTGATGATTAGTATATAATACTCTGGATGGTGAATAATTAGAAATAATGGTAGAGATAAGAAAGTCACACTGATAGAGTTAATTGTGTAATCTTGAACAATAAAGAAGATTTTACATATCTGGTAGTAATGATAAAACAATTAAGTTTTGGGTTAAGAAAATTAATAATGGGAATGCAATTAGACAATATCAGGTCATACAGGAAGTGTTCGATGTTTATCTTTGAATCTATCATATAATAAGCTGATATCATGTGTTTATGATAAATTATTATTAATCTTCTCATAAGATAGTAATAAAAGTTGGAAAATAATCTAAAAAGATATCAGTTCAAAGAGACGGGTATTGTTTATGTTTCATTACTGATCAAATGTTTAAATTTTAACAGAAAACAATAAATATTATGTATATTTATCAATTAAATACAACAAGTTAATAGTTTATGATAATAGAACTAGAGGTAAACATTGATTCAGGAAAAAGGTATACTGGATTAATCCTTAAAAAGTTCATAAAAGAAAAGTAAATTCTACTAAATAATAATGGGCTAATTATAAACTTAATTAGACTTTATAGCAATGGTTAATTCAAAACAGACAAATATTGTGCACTATTTGGTACTTTTTCATACAATGCTAGTTATTTAGTCACATATGATAGTGATAGTTAGGAGATAACGGTAAGAAAATATAGAGAAATTGATGTGCATAAATCAAATTTCCTAGGTCGAGTGTTTATTATGAAAATATGTTTTAAATTGCATCAGATTATTGATATCAATATATATCTTTCAAAGTAACCAAAAAGTTTGATTAATAATTTAATTAATGTATTTATATAATTTATATTATTGTATTAAAGTAAGTGGAATTATACAAAGATTTTCTAAGATTTGATTTAATGGATTCATTTTTCAAACTATTCATAATGCAATATAAATAGTTTATTCATAGTTATCCATGTTCTAGATTTATAAAATATTGAATACATGTGATAGTAAATTGATATTTATAATAAGAAAAGTATTAACTAAAATTAAATTGATGTATTTATTAATTAAATCATAGTGTGACAATAAATAGTAAAAATTCTCCATCTGATTTTTTAATGACATTAAATGTATTTTAATAAACAATCCAACATAAGTCTTTATATCCGAAGGATTTTTCTAATTTTATATGAATTTTTGTCTTTCGATCGATACTGAATGTAAAATATCATTCATCTTAATAGATCTCTTTAAAATTTTATGATGAAGTCAAACTTACAAAGCTCAAGTTTTTTCAATCACTCTAGATTGATTAAATTGACATTTTTAATTATATTCAAATTAATTGGAATCATTTTAATAAACTCCAAATTGTATTTGTATGAAAATCAGGTCAATATTCAAATTGTTACTCAAAAACAGATAATTAAATTTATTGAGAAAGTGAAATTCCTTCCTACGCAAATATCTGCTAATTAAATTGATAATTTGATTATTCAATATCAATTTTATTATCAAAATAAATGAAATTATTGATCTGCTGATAGAAATTCGACAATGATTTTATCTTTAGCATTTTTTGATCACTCAAAAGTATACACATTTCTATTCTCATTTTGTATATATTGGCTATGAATATTATACACTATTATAAGTTTCTATTATTATTAGATTTTATATTAAAAGAAGTTTTATAAGTTTGTGAAGCAATGCAAAATAATAATCTTATTTAGAATTCTCCTCTTATGAATTAATTCAATAGATGACTACTAAAAGCATATTTAGTCATACTATTGCCATTTACCATAACAACACAACTATAATTTTAAAAGAGATAAAAAATTATTTCATGTGAACAATTATTAGTTTTTCTGTTAAATAGCAGAGACAATTTCATAGCAACATTTCTAACTACTATTAAGCAATTCAACACTTATTTTTATTGTTAAGTGTAGTTACTGAATTGCATTATTGCACAATAATATTAAGATTGAGTTCATAGTATCAAGAATTGTAACAAACGCAGCAAAACCTTGTTCATATAATGTTTAATCGAAAACCCCATTTGCTACCCTGAGTTTATGTTATGGCAATTCATGTAGACCTAGAATAGAGTTATGGGATATTCTTTAATGTTACTTTAAAATGATACCAGCGTCACCATAATGATCATCTATTGCATGCTAAACTTTGGAATAATTTGTTACCTATCAGCTGTTGATTCTAATTTTATATTTTAAAATGTAATTAAGACGCTGGTACTATATAGTGAGCTTGCGAGTTGTACTTCTGATAGCAATTGGAGCTTGAACGTATTGATACAGTTGCTCTACTTCTGATAATATTAAGCAGCTTTGCTAAATTAAAAATTCAAAGGATTTCTAATCTGGTGCTCTTACACCCATCTNTAAATCAAATTTCCTAGGTCGAGTGTTTATTATGAAAATATGTTTTAAATTGCATCAGATTATTGATATCAATATATATCTTTCAAAGTAACCAAAAAGTTTGATTAATAATTTAATTAATGTATTTATATAATTTATATTATTGTATTAAAGTAAGTGGAATTATACAAAGATTTTCTAAGATTTGATTTAATGGATTCATTTTTCAAACTATTCATAATGCAATATAAATAGTTTATTCATAGTTATCCATGTTCTAGATTTATAAAATATTGAATACATGTGATAGTAAATTGATATTTATAATAAGAAAAGTATTAACTAAAATTAAATTGATGTATTTATTAATTAAATCATAGTGTGACAATAAATAGTAAAAATTCTCCATCTGATTTTTTAATGACATTAAATGTATTTTAATAAACAATCCAACATAAGTCTTTATATCCGAAGGATTTTTCTAATTTTATATGAATTTTTGTCTTTCGATCGATACTGAATGTAAAATATCATTCATCTTAATAGATCTCTTTAAAATTTTATGATGAAGTCAAACTTACAAAGCTCAAGTTTTTTCAATCACTCTAGATTGATTAAATTGACATTTTTAATTATATTCAAATTAATTGGAATCATTTTAATAAACTCCAAATTGTATTTGTATGAAAATCAGGTCAATATTCAAATTGTTACTCAAAAACAGATAATTAAATTTATTGAGAAAGTGAAATTCCTTCCTACGCAAATATCTGCTAATTAAATTGATAATTTGATTATTCAATATCAATTTTATTATCAAAATAAATGAAATTATTGATCTGCTGATAGAAATTCGACAATGATTTTATCTTTAGCATTTTTTGATCACTCAAAAGTATACACATTTCTATTCTCATTTTGTATATATTGGCTATGAATATTATACACTATTATAAGTTTCTATTATTATTAGATTTTATATTAAAAGAAGTTTTATAAGTTTGTGAAGCAATGCAAAATAATAATCTTATTTAGAATTCTCCTCTTATGAATTAATTCAATAGATGACTACTAAAAGCATATTTAGTCATACTATTGCCATTTACCATAACAACACAACTATAATTTTAAAAGAGATAAAAAATTATTTCATGTGAACAATTATTAGTTTTTCTGTTAAATAGCAGAGACAATTTCATAGCAACATTTCTAACTACTATTAAGCAATTCAACACTTATTTTTATTGTTAAGTGTAGTTACTGAATTGCATTATTGCACAATAATATTAAGATTGAGTTCATAGTATCAAGAATTGTAACAAACGCAGCAAAACCTTGTTCATATAATGTTTAATCGAAAACCCCATTTGCTACCCTGAGTTTATGTTATGGCAATTCATGTAGACCTAGAATAGAGTTATGGGATATTCTTTAATGTTACTTTAAAATGATACCAGCGTCACCATAATGATCATCTATTGCATGCTAAACTTTGGAATAATTTGTTACCTATCAGCTGTTGATTCTAATTTTATATTTTAAAATGTAATTAAGACGCTGGTACTATATAGTGAGCTTGCGAGTTGTACTTCTGATAGCAATTGGAGCTTGAACGTATTGATACAGTTGCTCTACTTCTGATAATATTAAGCAGCTTTGCTAAATTAAAAATTCAAAGGATTTCTAATCTGGTGCTCTTACACCCATCTAAAATAAATACCTTGATTACATTGTAATTAATATATTGCGTTGGCTATGGCTATTGCGAAACTACAATATTTTATATCAAGCTTTAGTCTGCAATATAAAATTACATAATGGCTACTTGGTTCCTAACTGTATGATTGTAATCCTTTTAATTGGTAATATTAATTGTCCTAATTGATTCAAGTACGAAATGTACATATAATTCAAAATTCCATTGCTATTAAAAAAGAAAGTGCAAAAACCATCATTCAATTTTTTATTGAAGCAGTTGCTTTATGTATGATTATTGTGATTTGTAATTTTACTCAACTCTGTCGATCTAAATTTTCTATGATCAGAAATCGGTTAAAAAGCCCATAATGTAACACTAATTGAATCTAAATTCAACCATAACCTTGACAATATGTAAAAGCAATTAATAATTTGATTGCCCTAAAGTTTTTTGATAAAATCAGCGTTTTTCTTTAACTACCTCAATATAAATGATTAACTAACAGCATTAACTTAAACTTATTATAGCCATTTAGTCTAATATTATATTTGATCTGTATTATAAAATTATTAATAATAATATATTTTCATTGTTTTTATAATAAAATTTAGTTTTCCAAAATGTAACTTCCTTTTGATTTGAATAATGATTTTAGGTCTACACCTTGGTAATTTAAAAATTCACCTTTAAAAATTAGAGCTCCTTAAGATTAAAATA